ATTCCGTCACTTTACTTCGGGGTAATGCCGCCATGAAATAACCCAGACACTTACAAACACAGATAATCTAGACATTGAAGAACATTGGAAACAAATGAAGACAAAAGTATTAAATGCAGCAACAAAGACCATCGCTAAAAAGGTAAAGAGGCAAAGGGCAGAATGGTTCAACGAAGAGTGTAGACGGGCCATACACGAACGAAATGAAGCTCACAAGAAATATATGGAAAGGCGAACCAGAGAAAGAAGAACATTTTTCGAGGAGCTACGACGCAGGGCGGATAAAATATGTCGAGGAGAAAAAAGAAAATGGGAAAATAATAAGATACAGAAAATGGAACAAAACCTCCAAAGCAACGATCTAAGGGAGGCATATAAATATCTTCGACAACTAAGAGAAGGATACAAACCCCGAACAAGTCTGTGCAGAAACCAAACAGATAAGATAATTAGTGAACCAACGCAAATAAAATCAGTTTGGAAAAGCCATTTCCAAGCTCTGCTAGGAGCACAAGGAAGCTCACGATCTTCGGATTTGCGGCACATCGAGGAAGGAGACGAAGAAATAAGCAGCCCGACTCTTAAAGAAGTCAAACAAGCAATACAGGCGCAAAGAAACAACAAAGCGCCGGGATTTGACGATGTCACTTCCGAACTGTATAAATTAGGTGGCGAACATCTAACAACGCAGGTGCACGCGCTCATATCTAAGGTATGGAGGGAAGAAAAAATTCCTAGCGATTGGAAAAATGGGATTATCTGCCCAATCTACAAAAAAGGGGACAAACTTAAATGCGAAAATTACCGCGGCATAACCCTCCTATGTTCGGCCTACAAAATTTTTACATCCATCCTGAATAGGCGACTTCAACCATTATGTGAAAATATTATCGGCGAATACCAGACCGGTTTTCGACAAGGCAGGTCGACAATAGATCAGCTTTTTACAGTAAAGCAAATCCTTAATAAAGCTTGGGAACACGATATTGATGTTCACAATATATTTGTCGACTTCAAACAGGCTTATGACTCCATAAATAGAAGCCGGTTATATAACATCATGGAAAGCTTCAATATTCCCTCGAAATATATCCGACTAGTAAAAGCAACGATGGACTCCACAATAGCAACTGTACGCATACAGTACGAATTAACTGACAGCTTCGAAATAGTTCAAGGGCTGAAACAAGGTGATGGACTAGCTCCAACACTGTTCAATCTGGCCCTTGAATATGTCATCAGAAAGCTGAATGTCGGAAGAGCCAATCTCCTAACAAACAAATCTGTCCAGCTCGCCGCATATGCGGATGACATTAACCTCATGTCCCGCAGAGTGGATGATGCAGCAGAAACATATTCGCAGCTGAAAAAAACGGCCAAGGAGATTGGACTTGAAATAAATACACAGAAGACAAAAATACTAACACAGACGCGGACAAAGCGAACAAGAAATCAAATCAAAGTAGAGGATGACATTGAAACAGTGAAGAGTTTTACTTATCTGGGAGTCGAAATGAATACGGAGGGAACAGAAGAGGCCGAAATTCAGAAGAGAATAATGAAGGGAAATAAAGCCTATTTTTCCCTGATTAACATATTCCGCTCCAAGACGGTACATCGAAAATCGAAACTTAAGGTCTATAAAACTATCATCAGACCGATAGTATGCTATGGATGCGAGACATGGGTTTTGACAGAAAGCACTAAACGAAGATTAGAGGTTTTCGAGAGAAAAATCCTAAGGAAGATCTTTGGACCCATCACTCAAAATGGGATGTGGAGATCTAGATATAACCATGAACTCTACCAACTGTTCAAAGAAGCACCTATTGCAGAGTTCGCTAGAGTACAAAGGCTTCGATGGGCTGGTCATGTGGTACGGATGGATGCCGACAGATTGCCGAGAAAGGCCTTGGATGGTAAAATGCAGGGCAGAAGACCAAAGGGAAGACCACGTAATAGATGGGAGAACGAAGTCACAGCAGATGCGCACAACTTATTGAACGTCAGGGCTTGGAGACGAGTGGCGCGGGATCGCCTTTGTTGGAGGCAGAAGTTACAGGAGGCCAAGGCTCAATTTGGGCTGTAGCGCCATTGGAAGAAGAAGAAGAAGAATGCCGCCATGGCGGTATTTTCCCGTATTTTCTTATTGAAATGAAAGGATAACAACGCTTTTTTGGTATACCCCGAACAACATTAAGGGATAGGCTAAAGGCAAACGATGGTAGTAAGCCGAGATTGGGTCGGAAATGTGTTTTTTCTGTAGAGTGAGTAAGAACAAAACTTAACAGAGAATGTGGTTAGCCTATCAAAACTATTTTATGGCATCACTACAATGAACTACATCGAAGAAAAACGTTTAATTTGGTATGGCCATGTGAGAAGAACAGATCATACAAGGTGGATAGCAAAGATTTCGGATTGGAGCCCAATAGGAAGGAGGAAAAGAGGTAGACCCTGAAGATCATGGAGGGATGAAGTGGACGATGCCATGGAAAGACGAGACCTTAGAGATGGAGAATGGCAGAACAGAAAGGACTGGAGACGTTGGCTGAAAGAAGGAAGGCGGCGACAGCTGTAATAATCCTTATATAGATAGATAGACAAATGAACTAAGGCGACTGGCTTTCGAATTAGCTGAAAAACATCAAATTAAACAAAACTTTAGCAAAGAGACCAAGTTAGCTGGGATAGATTGATTAAATGGGTTGATCAGCAGTCATAAAATTAGTTTAAGAAAACCAAAAGCCACTAGCTTGAACAGGGACAAAGCATTCAATAAAGACGAAGTTGATTTGTTTTACAAACATTTAGACACGGTAATAATTAAATATAACTTTCCACCGAACCGTATCCATAATATGAACGAAACTGGAATTTCCACAGTACAAAAATCAGGAAAAATTCTTGCACCAAATGGACAGAAGCAAGTAGGAGGAGTTACGAGTTGGGAGCGTGGCAAGAATATCAGTGTAGTGTGTGCCATGGGCGCTTCATGAATATATACGCCCCCAATGTTTATTTATACAAGGAAACGGATGCCCATTGTTGCAGCTAGGAGGACCTCCTGGAACCATTTATAGATGTGACACAATGGGTGGTCCAACGAAGATTTATTTGTAGATTGGCTGAAACATTTCCAGATAACCACTAAGTCAAGTAAAGAGGACACTGTCCTTCTGTTAATGGATAATCATGGAACCCATATTTTTTGGCATGTTATGACTTTTGCCGTTCAAACCACATTCTACGGGCCTCTTAAGAATGCGGTCAATAAGGAGTGTGATAATTTTATGAAAACAAATTTTCATCAAAAAATCACTCCATACGACATTGATCCGATATTCAGCAAAGCTTACTTGAGGATTGCTACCCTTGAAAAGGCAGTGGCAGGATTCAAAGCATGTGGAATTTTTTCGTTTTAACCAGATACATTAAGTGAAGAAGATTTTGCTCCTGCTCATTAAGTCATAGAGGAAATAATTGTTGAGGACATAGAGGAAAATTCTGAAAAACTAAATGATACCTCTACTAATTAGGCACCTATCCTCCTGAAAGTTCTGCTACTGCTACTGCTACTGCTATCGAGATTATAAATCTTAACCGGGGACATCGTCACGAAAAGTAGATTTTTCAAAAAGCATTCTCGACATTTCACCAATGCCAACTAACAGGACCGATCCTAAACAAAAAGCTCAGGATAGAAAGCAACATTATATTATCATGACTTTGACACCAATGAAAGATATCCTGCAAGATGCTAAAGAAAAAAGGGAGTTGAAGCAAAAAGCGAAAGCAGTGAAACGAAATTTTACAGATTGCGAAAATAACAAAAATATTGGAAAAAAAATAAAAAAAATTGAAACAAAACAGAAGGACGTTTATATCTGAAGACGAGCTTTCTAAGAATAAAAAAAACAAGAAAATGAAGAAAACTATCAGACCAAAATTCGATTTTGATGAAACATCGTCAGAAGATTTTGATGATGACAAACTTTGTGATGATGATTCAAATGATGATATCTCCCTACCCACTGTGTTTGCCGATGAGGAGAAATGTTTAATTTGTGGAGAATTTGGAGACACTGAACTTTGGTATCGCTGCTTTGCTCGAAATGGGCTCATTCTCAATGCTCATGCGCGTACAAAGACAGTGCCAAAAATTATGTTTGTGACTTCTGTGAATAAAATATTAGGTTGTTTTTAGGTTATGTTTTCATTTATCATTCATTATACTGTTATTTTTTTATGTTTCCAAATAAAATTTCAATAAAAATATTTGGTTAGAACATGTTTTATAGAGAAGTCTTATCCATCATTTCAGTTCAGTATCAGTTTATTGTCTCTTAATCAAGGCAAATGAAAAATTTCTGAAAACTAATTTAAGTTAAAAACTTAGTTCTTAGATCGCTAGCATAGTTACATATTTCTTTCATAAACAAATGATGATCTCTTAAGGTGACGCCATTACCCCGCCCTCCCCTACACCTTGTTTTAATTTTTCACAGCAGCCGTCTCTAAAGTCCGAATAACTATAATGGCCAACATTCATCGCAAAGATGGCACTTGAAGAAGATGATAGTTAATAGTATGTAATTCTTCTTCCTTAATCTTCTTCTTCTTAAGGTGCCGTGCATTTCTGCGTAGGCGTTCACCGTACATCGACTTGTCAGGTGAAATGTTAAATATTCGGGATTAAATAATTCTGTTTTTAGCAGCATTGCGAAGCATTTCATAGCGGTGGATTCCTGTCAATTGTCGAATATTGCGCAGCCATGACATTTTTTTACGTCCCAGATCTCTCCTACCCTCTATCTTCCCTTCGAGTATCAGTTGCTAAAACCGGTACCTAATCAGTAAACCGGTAACCGGTAAATCATTAATCAGTAAACTGGTATTTAATATGTCGGATCTATGTTTGAAAAAATGCTAAAAGTGTACATAACTGTGATACAAGAAATATTTATTTAACAAATGTCTAAACAATATTGTATACTTACCGTATAATCTAATATTGCCTTCGGCATCCCCTATGGAATTTTTTGATATACATTTATATCCACCCTGGTCAGCCTTGTGATATCTTCGTATAATAAGTTTCATTTGTACGCTGTAGTATGAATTGTTGATTTCTGTCATGTAGTATTTGTCGTTTGAAATAATCATTTCACCTAAAGAAAAACATGTGTTATACATTTATAAATAGCAAATATACTTTTGAGTATATGTTCTAAAATTGTGTCTTTGTGGTATTCGATGACACCGAGAAGAACTTCTTAATAAACCAAAGAGGATATTTATTAATTGGTAAACGGCATACGAATGAAATACAGTCAACTCCCGTTTATCCGCGACTCTGTAGAAGCTTTTTTTATATTAATGAAAACATTATTTCATAAACTAAATATATGTATTATCATTCTGAATTAGAGACAGTGTTGGTAGGATAGATACCCCAAGTTCGTCATATGGGTACACCCATATCAGGTTCAATTTTTGCTGTAAAAGCAAAACAGTTTTTTGACGTGTTGGGACTAAAGTAAATTTTGATGCATGATTTGGTTAGTTGGCTTGCTTTAAGCAATGCCATAAGATAAACGAGATATGACCTTATGAAGAGAAGATCAGAGGTGAGCAACAGGGAGCTGAGGAATTTAAAAGCGAGTTCGAAGAGTTCCTTTCTTTACATGATCTGAGCTACGATCAAATTTATAACTCAGACGAATTGGGCCTCTTGTGAAAATGCTTTTCAACTCAAACGCTAGCTTTTGCAATTGAAGGTAAAGTGGGAGTCCATAAATCCAGCAAAGAAAGGATCACGATTATGTCTTGCAGCAACGATGAGTGGATCGAAATCAAATTTTTGAAGAATTCAAAAAACATTTAAAAGCAAACAATTTGCCACAACAAGTTATATTGTTGATTGATAACGCCCCCTCACATCCTAAAACGCATATTGTTACGTCTGCTGACGGAAAATACACTACCGAGCATAAAATTAGGATCACTCCGTAATTTGAATTTATTTTAAAAATTATTATTCTGTTTTAACTATTTTCGCTTGTAACATTGTTTACTAATGGATTTCTTGAAAAAAAATTGTGTTGTTTCGACAAGCGTTTGAGATAAAAAGGACCCCTTAGCCTAATTCCTAAAAACCGTTATCAGCACAGTTTTTGTTTCTATGGTTTTAACGTCAATTGTAAATTGTTTGTGTATTGTTATCACTGTCAGTGTACTGCAATGAGCATAAATTCTGTTGTGGCGGCAAGAATTGTGGCGGCGTTAGAAGATGGCCACGGTCAGCGCGAAACTGCAAAAAACGTTGGTGTAAGTCTCTCGAGTGTGCAACGAGTATAGCAACGATACGAAGAGACCGGTCTGCTTACTCGGAGACCTCGTTCAGATCGAGGCAGAATTACAACAGCTAGAGATGACCGCTTTGTCGTTTTGTTTGGCCTGCTCGCAGTCCAGACATCAATCAAATAGAACATGTTTGGGATGAGATGAAGAGACGTTTACAAAGTCATGTGCCGGCCCCCAGAAATTCGAGAGAGCTTTGCGACATATTGGTGCAAGAATGGAATAATCTTCCGCAGAATGTGATCCAAAATCTGATCCAAAGCATGCCTCATCGTTTGCAAGCTGTTATCACTGCCAGAGGAGGGAATACTCACTGCTAAAGTTCTTAAAATTTCTTTTTTTTTCAACAAAAAACACATCAAATTAAAATTGTCCCTTTTCAATATTTAGTATATCAAAGGAAAGTTCTTTATTTCCATTATTTTTAATAAACTTTAAACAGAATAATAATTTCTAAAATAAATTTAAATTACGGGGTGACCCTAATTTTATGCTCGGTAGTGTATTTGCCAAATTTTTGTTCCCAAATACAACTACAGAACAAAGTTACTTCGCTCAAACATTAAAGAAAGATATGGCTTAAAAACATCCAACCTTCCAGAATGATCGACGTGAGACAACTTAGCTCAGTAACCACAACAACAAATCACAATATGGCAATAGTGAAAACAGAAAGCCAGATACAACTTAAGAAGATATGCAAAATCGAAAGTGTAGAGAAATTCATTATAGAAGCTCTTTCCGACAAAACGACAAAATACCTTTACAAATGCTCAAATAGAGAATGAAAAACTTTTATTAGGAACCATTGGTAAACATTCACTCCATCAAAAAACCAGTGAAAATGGAGATTTGTTTATTAACTTTGCCAGTAGAAAAACACCGTCACATACACAAAGCGACATTATAGCGGATTATTCCTGCTAAAATATTCGCCAATCGATCACGTATTGATAAAAAAAGGGTCACAGCAACGATATAAAGATGTAAAGAGCCGAAGAAGAGCATGCTGCGAATCTGACTATTTCCTAGTACAGATAAAATGCATAAGATGCAGAATTTAGAAAAACAGGAGTAATGGAAAGAAACAAACAACAGAACAACTAGGTATACAAGAATTGAGACAACAAGATATCAAACAGAATTATGAGACATAAATAGCACAAGGACTGATAAATACTCGATTTTTCCGGTTGTTTTTTTATCTCGGTTTTAACTGTTTTTTTCTTTTTAAAGTATTCACCGGTAAAATAACCGCAGAATAGATAACCAAGAAAATATTAGTCTATATTACAATGATGTTGGGGGTTCGACTCCTTTAAAACAATTAATACTGGGGATTATATCTGCCAAACCATGAAGGAGCTCCTTGAAGAATTTGGCATTCCTGTTTTGATACAAGTCAAGATCTACTCAAATATGCGCATACGCGAATACTGTTGCCATAATAAGCCGCAATAAAAGGGCACTAAGTACTAAGCGAAAAAGCAATAGATTTGAAACGGGAAGATGTTGAATTTGGTCTAAATATAAATGAAACGAAAACAAGTATATGGAGTGCACAAAGTCGAATCGACATGAGAATTTGACGGTAATGAAGTGAAGATGATTTACGACGTCAGACAACTGCCAGAAAATTTAACATGTTAATTTCCCCAAATAAGAAAAAATACATGGATATAACAGCAAATCTGTTAAGATATAAATTAAAGCTAAAAGGTCAGATAGTACAACAAGTGACGGAGTTTAAATATCAAGACATCACACTATCTAGCTACGGAAAGCTGGAAACAGAAGTGGAAGATTGAGTGAATAGAGTAAATAGGGCCACATATTGCCTAAGTGAAACAATATGGAAAAATAAAAATATCGGGAAAGAAATGTAAGGCAGAATTTACAAATCAGACCAATAATGACATATGCAGCGCAGAAACACTACCTGATACAGGGAGGACAAAACGAATGCTAGGCACAGAAAAGATAAAAACCCTTGTAAAAACCGATGGTGTATGGGATAGAGCTAGAAGTACAGATATGTGACGGAAATGCAAAGTGAAGAAGATAAAGGACTTTCCCAAGTTCCTCAATGGGAAGACGATTAGTAGGAAGACCACGAAAACGATGGAGCGACAACTTACTGGAGGCATATTGAAAAACAGAGAGAGTCATGTCTACACACAAAAAAGAAGAAGAATGAAAAGAAGCTTAGCAATACGTTCCAAATGCTTTGATGTATATTGAACGGCCTTTCAGTGTCTCTCACTAATAATCCAGTTTTTTAGAATATTTAATTAATCATAGGTGGTAAAATTAAATCATTATATTTGGTAAGTGAATTTTAACTACCAATCCTTAAAAACCTTTAACAAATTATTTCGAAAAAGTGCTTTAAAATAGTAAAGTAATGAAAACGCGTTTCGTGTAGCACTTCATGTTTAATAATCCTGAAGTGTAAGCTGTAACGATGTTCGTATTTTTTGTTGCCAACACGCAAAGAGCGTCAAATTCGTACCCTACATGAATTTAGAACACTCTTAAATAAAAAGGAAATTGCAGAAATTCCTTACTGCAAAACGTGTGGAAATAGTTTTGACGTATGATATATTTAAGAAAAACAAAAATATGGAACGAAATTGTGTCAATGAATATTTATCAAATTAAATGAACTTTTCACTGACTACAGTTTAAATAAATTATTTGGACAAAGCTTCAAAGTTAATTAGTGTTAAATTAGTTTCTAATTAAATGTCTTTCATAATTTTTGATAATGTAACAGCTTTTAAGTGACCAAATACGTAGCAGTGGCATATTAAATAGCAATTTTAAATCATAAAAGTAGCGTAACAATAACAAAGTAAAGTTTTGAGTTGGGATCCGGTCCCTGTGATACCTCTGTCACTGGCTAAGTGCCGGTCAGCGCATTGTCAAGTGTTCAGCTTGTCTGAGACTTCACTACTTACCGCTCTCTCTAGTCCAGTAGTTGATTGCTTTTGGGGACGCCTCAACGTGACACTGTAGGGTGACATCCGTGTTTACAGGGGCTCCCACTAACTGATTTCGAACTTGAATCAGAGGGTGAACTGGAACAACCATCGTTAAACTAATTAGTGTCCAAGAGCATTTAGCCGAGTCAAACTGGAGGACACCGATGCTGTGCTGATTGTATTGTGGATAAATGAACGAATAACTACTAGTCACCTACGGTCGGAAATATCTCAGCACGCATTGATGTCTTTCCAATGTATAGGCTTTTTATTATAATACGGCAGTGTCGTAACAATAAATATAGTTTGTAAATATCTAAATTGTGTTCTGATGCTATTTTCTTGTTGCATTGTAAATTAATTACTATTTAACTATGAATAAGCCACAATTAAAGATAAAAATACGTTTATTGACGTTTCAATTTCCACTTCGGAAATCGTTCTCAAAATACAAACAGTAAATTAAACAAATTTTGTTTTTTGTTACATAGTGAAAAATTCTTCTAATAATTTAATTTTATCTGACTCATTTATATTGACAATTCAGACATACATTATGCATTTTAAAGTAGACGACTTTAAAATGATATTGCCAATATTGTTGAGTTGCGCTCCTGGGACGACTTTACTTATAAGATAGTTCATTCGATTACATGAAATCAACTTTAACTTGAGAATATCCGTCAGAAAAAAATCATAGCATGTAATTCGTCTTTAAAAAGACAAACACATGACATGATGACAGTAAAATTCTCCTGTTAGTGATTCCATAGTAAATTATGAGGGAAATTTGCGACACAATTGGCCTCATTTAGCATAATTAGAGCCGCTTCTTTGATTTTTCTTTTTTTAACCCTCCGTTTCTTTTAGGACTACATTTGAATTATTCCATTGAACCCTATGTTCATTATCCCATGCGTAGATCTCAAATATGTAAACACGCATGGGATAATGAATATAGGGTTCAATGGAATAATTCAAATGTAGTCCTAAAAGAAACGGATGGTAAAAAAAGAAAAATCAAAAAAGCGGCTCTAATTATGCTAAATGAGGCCAATTGTGTCGCAAATTCCTCGGCAGAATGTAGTAGGATCTGGTTACCAATACTGAAAGAGGAAGTTATTAATAAGAAAATACCAGTATTAGTAAGTCACTAACATATAGAGGATACATCATTTATGTTTTTTAAATAACGTAACATATAAAATCAGAATTTTGATGTTTGTTGAAGGTAAACTAAATTCACGAACAAATACTTACAATGTCGGGATAGTATTATGAGGTTTTTTTCCTGGTTTTTCCCTCATAATTTACTATGGAATCACTAACAGGAGAATTTTACTGTCATCATGTCATGTGTTTGTCTTTTTAAAGACGAATTACATTCTATGATTTTTTTCTGACGGATATTCTCAAGTTAAAGTTGATTTCATGTAATCGAATGAACTATCTTATAAGTAAAGTCGTCCCAGGAGCGCAACTCAACAATATTGGCAATATCATTTTAAAGTCGTCTACTTTAAAATGCATAATGTATGTCTGAATTGTCAATATAAATGAGTCAGATAAAATTAAAGATTCAAACAAAAAATTTGTTTAATTTACTGTTTGTATTTTGAGAACGATTTCCGAAGTGGAAATTGAAACGTTAATAAACGTATTTTTATCTTTAATTGTGGCTTATTCCCAGTTTAATAGTAATGAATCATTTTTAAGTTTTTTTTTTATTTAAATTAATTACATCTTGTATAAATAATTTATAAATGTTAGTTTAAGAATCATAATCATTTAAACAATTAATTTGTTTATAATAAATTCCCGCCACTTTCGATGCAAAAGCAAGTTTTTAAATTCGAAGAAAGTAACCATTTTATATTGCAACATAGGCAGAAAAGGTATCGCTTTTCCACATCAGAATCAGAAACGGCGAATTGTAATCTTTTTCTGATCTTGTTAGTTTGTTTTAAAACGTGCAACGCTTTACGGTTTTGCGTATTACCTTTGCACAAGGGCCTTACTAATCTTCCCTGTATCGTTCCTACCGCTAAAGCAAGTTGAATTGAAATTGAAACGTAAATAAACGTATTTTTATTTTTAATTGTGGCTCATTCCCAGTTAAATAGTAGTTAATCTAAATTTTGTTTGATTAATAGTTTTACTAAAATAATATAGAGTAATTAAATAACCAAGACCAAGCGCCAAAAATTGATTTTGAGATATTTGACTTCAAAGTTTTCACTCTATTAAAATTCAGTATATATGTTACAATAGTCGTAATTTTTTGTTTTTGAAGACAGCTTTTTATATTTTCTTTAAGTGCGAAATAGTAACTTGCTAATGTTGAAGGCTAATTGTGTTATACATCGTATATAAGTCGTTTGGTCTAATGATGCGTAACTTAAATATCACTTTTAGTAAATGATTAGTAGGCCACAAGCTATTTTTTCTTTTGGGTATGATAATAAAAGTTGTCGTTTTGAATTATATTAAATTCCACTAGGAAACTAAGTTCCTGTAGCTGGTTGTATACCATATATCACAAAAAATTGATCTCAAATCCTTTATAAAAGGTATATAATAAAATGCCCAAACGGGCTATCACAAATATGTTACAAAACGTTTTCGGATTGTTAAATCCATCATCAGTGTAAACCTGAAAGTAAATAACCACTTTAATTAAAAAGAACGTAGAATTTAAATTGTTGACTAAGGTTAAAGAACATTGTGGTTAATACTTACGAGGTATACATGCTATGAGCCACCAAAATATATGGGTCAAAACCCTTTAAATGATATTAATTTACAGTTGCTTTACATTATATGTAGTTACAAATTATAATGTTTAAGTTACCGTTGGAATTGGTAACATGGCGACGTATGACCCTACATAGGTAAAATGGTCCTGAGACGAAGTGTCTTCGAGGACCTGTTGATAACAATTGATCAAAATGACATTGTTGACTAAAAATAACAGATGTCAGCATTATTTAAAATTGAAAAATTAAAATTATAATAATGTAACCGTATCAACCATCAATGTTGTCGTCTGTAATGTGGATTAATTATATGGCTATATTGGAAACATTGAAAAAATTGGTTTTTTTTAAATTAATGTGGGTAAACTGGAGTTAATGAAATTTTGTAGGATCAATAGGCAACCAACTATACATGTGTATGGATTTATTTGTTCTAAATTAAAAAAAATTTATCAAAAGGCCCTGTATGTTGTGTAACATTTGGTACCTAGAAAATGGTAAAAAAAGGCACATGTAGGAAGATGGGTCCTATAAGATTTATTAATGAGGAATGTTGTAGTAAAAAGTGTGCTTAGATCTGTTGTTGAGCTGAAATTTAAATATGACAAGAATGTGATTGTGGTGTGATGTTCATGTAGTACTTAACTGAAAATTTAAACAAGGAGGGCCCTCTATGTCAAAAAAAAAAAACAACATTTGGCACCTGGTAAAAATAAAAGATTTTTCAAGTTATAAGTACATGAACATGAATTGCTGGTTATGTGTGAAAATTAAAGATGGTAGATTGGTTTTGTGTGTGGACACGTATGCCAGAACAATAGAAAACTGATGGCTGAAAGGTGGTTTGGTATGGTATTGTTAATACATTGCTCAAATTAAAACTCAAGAAAAAACAAAAGGCCCTATATGTTAAAAGGAACATTTGGTGCCTGAGAAATATAAAATAAAAAGGATGAGTTATAAATTCGAGTTTAGGTAGGTATGTGAGTTTAATAGGCTTTTGGGGTGTATTGTGAGAATATGTGAAAATGTAGGAGTAGTTATGTTTAAGTTGGATCTGTCAAATTTACTAAAGATGTGTGATGTTTAATTGTTATTGTGAAGTGAAAGGTGGAAAAACTACAAGAGGCTGACAACCCCAGAGGGGTTATATTACTTAGGAAATTAATCAAAAATAGAAAATAAAACTTGAACTCAGTGTTAACAGTAGGTACAATTTTCTGAATATTATGAAAATAGTAAATAAACATTACTCATCTTGTATGCCAAAGTTTAAGTCTCCATCAAATCCATCAATGTCATCTTCTACTGTATTGTTACCGAAAATGAGGCGATACAGAGGTTGTGCATCATTTGGTATTAGGTTCATTAAAGATCTTAAGTCGTTAAGCTTAGGCACATTACTGAAGGTGGCTTGCCGGTGGACCAAAGAGGAATCAAGTGGTTACTTAGGGATTGCATTGCAACGGGCCGTGCTTTTTGAAGTTTTTTGTGAAGATCTACTTCAACTTCAGTAGTGTTAAAATCAGTTTTCATAAAAATACTCAATTTTCTCTTATTTTAAGCCCGCTTACCGTACATTTTTCTATGTCTGATTTACGGTTTGTAATCATAGTTTTCAACTTCTTTGTTCCAACGAATTTTTTTTTTCATTCTGTGAACTACTAGTGGGTTCTTTTTACGGGATTTATTCATCACGTTTAGGTAATCATCAACGGTATATAAACGTTCAATATCTCCAAAATCACTATCACTGTGTAAAAAACTATGACCAGGAAAGAGCGTAATATAATTTTTTCAATGGTAGGATGAGTTTTCAAAATCGTTTTTAGAATCAAAACTATTTTGATTTTGCGGTTTTGGCCGCCACAAGAGTCTGACCACAAAATTACATGTTTTGCAGAAGTAATATTTTCTTCAATGTGTTTCTTAAGACAACTGCCTACTTCCTAGGCTACCTGACCAGCTATCCCTTCTATCCAAACATAACAATGACCTTTGCTATCCTTGCCGCTATGGATAAAAAGGTTGTAAATACATAATTGACGATTATAATATAGAATATTTGTTGGAATTTTTGTAAGGGGAAAAGTTTTTTCCAGGTTTCCATTTCTGGTTGATCGTTGCTCATTATTTTGTCTAGCTTTCTTCTAGATTGTGTATTTTCAGCTTCTTCTAAGTGCACATTTTCTTCTTCCTTTAACTTGCTTAATTTTTCGTTTGCACAATTTTTAATTTCTAATTCGAAACAATCACATCTACTACAAGTATCTTTTTTCAATTTTTTCTTTGAAGATTAAATCGTGTTAAAAATATTTGTGTCTTCTGTTGGATATTCTCTTTCTGTGTTAGC